TGAACCAGTGTGAACAAGCCATAGTCTGATATGATGTATTAAGTAATTGAAATTTGCAATAAGAAAATTAATATTAACACTAAAAAAAAGTCCGAGTTTTAAGCTATAAAATCCGGGGTTTTAGAGCTCACAGTCCTAGATTAATAATTTTACAGATGGCAGCCCTAGTCTTGGCAGTAAGGAAATTCGACGTACAGGTCAAAATTCAGACGAAAATGTTAAATCAGCTACAATTATGAGGATATGTATGTCGGCCATGATGAATTAAAACACTTTTTAAAATTAGACATTACAATAATAAATTATATTATGTCTCTCAGAGTGACTAAGAATATAAAATAAAATCTATTTTACGATCATTTTAATGTAGGTGCAAGATTAAAATATTTTTATTGTACTAAACACAAAACTTATTATTGCTAAATAATTAACAATTAATTAATAATTGTTTAAATTATTTATTTTCGAAGGCGCGTTGGTTTTAGCAATGTAAAATAAAAATCTGTACAGAAAATTTGCTTTTGCACATCTATTTTTGTCATATGTCACGCGATATTCAGTTGCAAAACCAACGTGAGAATGGATTCTGTTAATATTATATTCTGAATTTCCCTGATTGGAATCCATGATTGGAACCATATGTTACGACTGTGTGTATAGATATCCGTCTAGATAGAATTAATACGGAAATGTATTTTTATGAGATGCAAAGCTGCCATCTAGACAAAGACTGCGGCCCCAAAAGAAGAAAGAGCACAAATTAGTCAGAATTAGGTCAAAATTACTAAAATATTACCGATATTCGACCTTCTGTCTAGGTCCATTTGACCAAATCAGACTATGACTTGTAGGACGAAATGCCTTGCATTACCTAATTTCAACTGTAAAATTACTTCAACTTTATTCCCCACTTACCTTCTTTCGACGCCAATTCGACGTAAATTGAGCTTGGTCTAACAAATTTTCGAACCTATCAGAAGGTCGGATAAACATAATTTCGCCCTATTTTGCTGCTTGGGTATACTCCGGGTCCGCGAATTCTGGGACACCCTGTATATCACATTTAAAAAAAATAAATGTTTCATTAAAATTATATTTTTATTATACCATTGTTATAAATTATAAAAAATTAGTAATTACATTTATAATAACAAAATTATGTATATCATAAAAAAGTATAAGTTTTTAAAGAACAGTCTTAATAAATAAGTCGTTCTAATTAACATTTGAATGTAATTAGAACGTAATTTAAATAATAAATTGCTGTTAAAAAGAAATTATTCTCTAAAAATAAGTCAGTATGTCCTTTTATTTTTTTAAATTAATAAAGAATTTACTCTTCAAACTTCTATTTGTGAAAATATATTTTTTTTAATCACTTATAAAAGAGTTGTTGAAAATGTCTTACTTATTTTTTTCTTAAAATTGCAAAACTAAAACAAATAAAATATTATTATAAAGTTAAGAAAATAATGCTTAAAAACAAAAATTTTGCGTTATTATAAAAATAAACAAGTACATGAAAAAATTAAAAGTTGATAAAATTAATCTTACAGCATAAGAAACTGTATTAATTAATTATCTATATAAAAATCGTTTCTAAGAGAAGAATTATCTTGTTTTTCAACATGTATCCTTATGCACTTTGCATCGTTAAATACATAATCGCGAGACCACAAGTAACGCACTTACGTAATGCTGTGTTTATCCGTTCTCTAGAAATAATAATAAGACTCGGGTGTCAGTATTAGCGTTAAGTATCGTTAATTATGTCAACCAAAATGGTAATTTAGACGTATTAGGATATACTACCTCATATAATTGAGGGTTCTCCTTCTATTTTACTTCCGCATATAAAAGTAAACGGATAAATTTTGCATGTGGTTTGCAACAGTCAGGCCCAGTGTCGATTCATCGGAATTTTTATATTGCTAAAAAGAGATCAAAAGAACAAACAAGAAGATAAAAAATAAAAATGAAAGGCACTGGCACTATTTTTTTCATTTTGTTTGTGCTCACGGCAAATCTTCAGAATGCTGAAAGTGTAAGTCTTTTAAGACGTGAACATATTAGTAGACGTGTTGCATTTCCGCTTTATTATATATATATCGTATATCGTATTATTATAATATATCAATTCAATGATAAAACTTGTGTCTTACAATCTTGTCTCTAACAATGTTTTTGCATATCATTTTATCAAAAATGTAATATGTAACGGTATAACATTTTTCGTCTACACTGATATGAAAAAGAACGATGCTGCACATGGATGCAACAAGTCTGTATGTACACGCTAGTTCTTTCTTAGAATCTTAAAAAAAATCTGTAAGTATGTCAAAACAAAAAATTAAAAGAAATTATAAAAATTTTGTCTAATATTGTATTTTTGAGATTATAATTTATTATTAAATATTTACAATATTTAAAACAATTTGGAGATTAAAACGTAAAAAATTATAGATTTAATATAAAAATTTGCAATTTTTATATATACTTAAAAATACAAGAAAAATAATATTTTTGCAGCAGAAAAAGCTATTATTATTATATCTTCTAATATTAGGCACTTCTCACATTTTTAACATTTACATATATGTGCTGTTCAAAATAATTAGAGAATTACTGTTAAATAAATAATTTTATCATTAACGAATAAAAACAGTAAGCTAATTATAAATACTGATGAAATTTCATATTATAATTTCATATTATGTGTGAAAATTATACTTAAATTATTTTGTGTATATATATATATATATATATATATATATATATATATAAATAAATTTATTGGTGCATTAATTTTATATAATTTATATACTCATTTAGATATTCAATGTTTCAAATTTTTCCACTTATTATTAGAGTAATTTTTAACTCTGGCTAAGAGTTAACATTTAATATTTTTCGCAGTATTTTAAGATGCTTACAGTCGCATCAAAATATTGAGGAATGAAGACCAATTGTAATCTCACTATTCTAACTTCAACTAATGATTGCGTTGCAAGTTTTGATTGACATTGATTCGGTGCGCAGTTTAAGTGGTTGAATAATGAATTAAACATTCATATAGAATTTATTAGACACCGAGATCTAGCTGTGACCATAAAAGACGCCCTTTTTATGTTTTGTGATTATATGTTCACTTACGCGGCCCAGTTCAAATTAATATTGAAAATAATTTTATTTTCGCAGAAAAAACTTTCACCTCAGGAAATGAAGGAGGTTTTGCAACCATTGACGAAACATTGTATTGAGAGAGTAGGGACGGATCCAAGTATGTCATACAAAGATTGCAGTCTTATATCGTATATTTACAAATTTATATAATGTGATCAACATCTTCAGATTTTTAATGTATTTTTTTAATTGAGATAAAATTTAATAATACGCAATACATATTTCATGTTTTACACATTTATAATAAATCAAGCAGCTAAAAGTATGTTAAAACATTAATATATCATTTTTTGTATTACATCACGTTATACATTAAATATACTTAAATATACCTAACAAACAAGATTATAACTGCAATGTTGCAGCAATATTTCAGCTATATTACAGAAATATTACAATAGTGCTGCAATATTGTAGTTATAATTTGTGTTTGCTGGATACATTTTAAAGATTTAACTAAAACTTAAATTTTATCTTAAGAGACATACATTGTTATTATTCGCAAAAATTAAAATTGTATTTTTGATATTCAAATTTTTAAATCTTGAATTTGTTTTAATTACATTATTGGTCTTATTAACATTAAGTAAATAATATTAAATAAAAGTATGTATTAAATAAATGCGCACTTGCGTAGATACACGTGTGTATGTTGTGTAAAATATTTTCTATAATACACATCACATATATACAAATTAAAAATAATTAATTTAAAAAGAGTTATAATAGAGTAATAGTAAGAGTGATAGTAAAAATATAGGAAAAATAAGAAGTAGTAAAAGTCTAATATTAATTTATGCTTAGAGATGATCGATGACGCAATCAAAGGTAATTTTGCATCGGATTGGAGATTGCAATGTTTCTTTAAGTGTATACTGGTAAATACAAAAATGGTAAGTAAAATTTTAATAATATTTTATAAATATTTTCTGAATACAAATGTTTCTCAAATTTTTTAAAAACATGTTAAAAGATAAAGTTGAAGTATCAAATCTTTTACACGAAGGCATTACACACTATTTTTTTAAATAGGTAAAAAAAATCAATTTTATGTAGATATTATATCTTTTTTCAATAATTCGACAAATATATATTGACAAAAAATTATATCTAACTTTTTCTAACATGCGTAATAAAAAAAGTATAATTACATTTACTAAAATATTTTTAAAAAGGTCTTTCAAAATTATCGTATAGGTAAATTCATGTAAAAATTTCGCATAACTTTGAATAAGTATAATTTCACAAAAAATGGTCGTATCGAAAGTTTTTTTTTCATTCACAAGAGTAAAGTTTGTATTTAAAAAAACTTTCAATAATAAATTTTAAATTTATCTTTCCTTCTCTCCGCTGTCTTTTTAAAAGTAAGGGCATGTTCATCTCTAAAAAATTGCATAATTTGACGCACTCTACGAGATGAAATTAATTTTTGCCGCAAATGCCATGGTAACCATTATAAAGTTTGAACTTCTCCGTACAAATTGAAAAAAATATAAAGCTTTGTACGATATTTTTCACGGAGTTACTATATGTCAAAGTTATCATAGCTGTCAGTGTTAGCATTACTGGTCAAAGTGCGCAGGGAAGTTGCTGATCGAATTTTATGCATTGTATGTGTGTGTGTGTGTGTATGTGCGCGTGCGCGCGCGTGTGTGTGTGTGTATGTGTGGTGTGTTTATGTGCATGCGTACGTGTATATGAATCTAAAAAGACTTGAAGAATATACAAATCGTTTTTTTTTCACGTAAGAGGTCTGACAAGGTCCTCACAAAGTGCACAATAGCTACAGCATAGAGAAAATTATCCAAGCATCTTGACTTCCTTTGGATCACTTTTCACCCAAAAACTAGACCGGAAATAAAATAAATATAAATAAATTTTATTTTTTTTAATTTTGCGATGCCTGTCGTAGGGAAAACTTACTGAAACAAATTTATTTTATTATTATTTATTTATTTTATTTTATTATTTATATTTACTTTATTTCCGATCTAGTTTTTGGGTCGAAAGTAATTCAAAGAGAGGCAATATGTTTGGATAATTTATCGAAAAATTAAAAAAAAATTTATTTTATTATTTTTTTATTTATTTATTATTTTATTACCTATTTATTTTTATTTTATTTCCGATCTAGTTTTTGGGTGGAAAGTAATCCAAAGGGAGTCAAGATGCTTGGATAATTTTCTCTATGCTGTATCTATTGTGCACTTTGTAAGGGTCCCTTGTGAGATGTTGTGGAATGTACTGATTTTAATCGAAAGTAGGTATAATAAAAGTACTATTAGATTTTTTATTATCATTATAGTTCCTGAGATATTTGAAAGTTTATTTGATATATGAATTTGAGATAAGCTTCTTTGGTTACGCCAGTGCCTTAGTACGCTCCTTTTTTCTTTTTATGTACTCGGCGTCGCGCCGCTAAATATGCAATAGTCAAATATGATTTAGACGTAATTGCTTTAAAATATGCACATAGCCCGTATAGTCATACAATAAATTTTGCGGCATAAACGATCGTAATTAAAAAGTTAATTATGGTTAGTAAAATTTTGCTTTCTATTAAAATTTTAATTATATTAGAAACTACATAAATTTATAGAAATCAATATATCTCTCTATAAAGTCATTCATTGAATGGACAGATTTTGAATTTTATACTTCGGTAAATAAGATAGATATTGATAAAAGAACTAATATACTAGAAAAAATTCATGCATTATATATATATTTAATATTTGTTTCTTTAAATAAAAAAATTAATTACATAATTTAATCATGATCTGAATAATTACCCATAAAAAAATATATTTTTTCCAGATAAAGGATGACAAGATAGTTGAAAAAGCTATCACAAATATCATAGAAATAATGTTATTAGAGGAACATGTAGCACCTTACAAGAAAGCGGTTGAACATTGTATACCAGCTGGTAAGCAAAACTGATATATATGATAATTTTTTAAATTAAATAACAATTATTTTCTATTAATTCTATAATATACAATTTGTTTATATTTATCTTTTATTTTTACAGTAAAAAAATTAAAAGGATGTGCGTTAGCATATGAATTTATCAAATGCTGCTACGATCAGGCGATTACGGTAAGATAAATTAATTTTATTTCACATCTCTTAAATTAAATAAATGAATTTTATTTCATATCTCTTTATAACAGTAATAAAAAGTCGCAATTTTAAAGATTAAAGACGTTTAATATTTTCTGAACATATACAGGGTGTCCGGTACTGAATGGTAAAGCGTTCGTAAGTAGATAGAGCGGACTATAAAATTGAATAAAAAAGTACTCTACCATTTTGAAACTTTCTCAACAATTTATGAGATATTAATTACTAAAAATTACCGAATAAACGCAGCTCACCGCCAAATGCAATCGCGCAATGAGATGCGACCGCCCAGTGCTCGACGTTGCTAGGCAACGGAGACTTAGTTACTATTGCAAGCGAATTTCTTAGCAACGTCGAGCACTGGGCACTGGGACGGCATTCAGTTGCACTTATTCGGCGATCTTTAGTAATTAATTTCTTGTAAATTATTGAGAAAATTACAAAATACAGGATTTTTCAACTCAATTTAATCAGTTTTACCAGCTGTTTACGAGCGCTTTACATTTAGTGCTTATACCTTGTATATTATTTGATAATCTTATGTGTACAGGGTGATAATAACCACATCAGCTCTCGTAAGCTGATAGAGCAGACGAAACTGAACAGAAAAGTTTTCTACCATTTTGCAAAATTAGCAATCATTAACGAGATATTAATTTTTGAAGATTGGCGAATAAACGCGTATCTCTCTGGCCCATCGCTGAATGCAAACGCGCGGCGAGATACGACCGCCCCACTGCTGGTCGTTGCTATGCACGCGGGGATAAACAATTATGGTAGAACTAGAGATCCTATAAGAAGAACTCGCCAACTCGTCAGGCTCTGATTGGCTGGGGTTCGGATTGCACAATTGTGCTCCATAAAGTCACACTATACTCTTTTGATTGATCGGAGCACAGTTGTATGATCCAAACTCCAGCCAATCAAAGTTTAGTAAACAATCACGTGGCGGGTTTTTTCTTAGATTGCGTTCCTTTTGGACGCTCACGCGCTGTAAACGCTTATAAGCTTCGCTTATACGTTTCTTTTGGCGTTATAAGCGCTCATGAAAGGCGCGCGCGCGATCTTTCTTGTAAATTTTACAAAAAGGCTAAAATTCAAACTATAATTTAATGAAAAAAAAATCGATGATCATAAACCAAAGTTCGTTTGAAATCTCTTGTATATACTTTTAGATGTCATTGGGTTTATTTAGTAACCAAATTTTGTCACAAAAAATGTTAAAAGTGGCCAAAAATGCCACTTCATTCCAATTTACTAGACACAAAATTCTAACGTGCTAGGCAAATTTTGCAACCAGCATCGTGTTCTGTAATGCGAAAAAATTTTCGAGAAACGTATTGTTGCACTTTGAAGAGAAAAAAGTATAACTTTATAACCTTTTTTTCTTTAGAATTCTGTGAAAACAGCTTATAATTCATTCTTTTTTTCGAAAATATTCGAGATAGTAATTTTAAGAGGATGCTGAAAGGTCGGCCAAATTTGTACAAGGTCGATAAAGCAGACTCTTCAGTGTCAGTGGTATCTCTAAATAAACTTTTTACAATATCTTCTGGTCTCACT